GATTCTTTAATTCATGAAACCAATAAATTGATGATGCTTTACTGAGTGCCTGCCTGGTGCCAGGAGGTGTTCTAGAAATTTCTGTACTTATTAGCAAAGAAGGCAGGCCATATTCTCACATGTTCTAAGGGTGATGGGTGGGTACAGTCACATAGGTGCAAATACATGTTTGTCGGATAGTGGTCAAGTCTAGAAAAACAGAACAGAGCAAAGGGACAGAGGAGCAAGAAGGTTCCATGTTTGGCAGCAATGGTTTCAATGGCTCAACCAAAGCCTGCAAGGCAAGAGGGAGCGTGCCAAGGTCCTGAGGTGGGAGCTAAGAGGTCCACCTCAACTTGCCTCCCTAATCTCTCTCCCCAAACCTGCCCCCTCAAAGCCCGCCAAACAGCAGCCCCTCCCCCAGAGCTGCCCTCCCATTCCAGACCTCTGCCCCCTCAAAGCCCACCAAAAGCCAGCCCCTCCCTGGGGCTGCTCAAGACCATGCCTCCAGGGTACTTGAGGCCTGGTAGCCATATTTGCCACGGGACTCTTCCCCTGCTTTCCCAGCGGTCACCCAGGATTGCTTTGCTCATTAAACCTGGATTTATTAATTCGGTTTGATTGGCTTGTTACATCAGCAGCGGCGGGAACCCAGCAACCAGGGATTTAAAGCTTATCAGTTAGGGTAAGGCTCTTGGAGGTAAATGCAATGTCTTTAGGGCTCTGAGGAGGCCAGTGGTCTCATATGACTTGAGGTTTTCAAGCCTGACCTGGCCGACTCTGGAATGAGGGTAGAGGCAGGGAGACCCATCTGCAGGTTACTACTGGTCTAAACAAGAGGGCTAGGAAGGTGGCATCCAACGTGAGAAGGGCGTGGGTCCTGAGTGTGTCAAAGGCAATGCTGGTGTGCTTTACTTATGGATGAGATGCAGGGTGTGCACATGGCAGAGGTCTAGGAGAGGTTCAGGTACAGCTGGATCATGAACTCAGGCAATAAAATCAAGGCCCCGTTCTCCTGTATCTCTTGGCATTGTTCTACATTGGCTTCATTTTCAGCTCTTTACATATGATGCTAAAGATGTCCACTGTCAGCTCAGATCTGTTCCGGAAGTTCTCTTGTGATTCAAAGTTCCCAGGGGGAAAAATAGGCTACACCTATGTAACTGATTCTACATGGCTGATGGACTGATTAGAAACTCATGATTGTGGAGAGTTGGAATGTTACAGATCCAGAACCAAATTATCTTGAGCTATCATTAGTCCATTTAATTGCCGTTCATTGCTCACCTCTGACCTCACATCCCTGCAACTATCGATGAAACCTTTTGGAAAGTATTAACAGACCACTAGCATCTACCAACCCAAAAGGTGAGAAGGACCTCAGACAGCATCTGGAACCTAGAACAGAGACACATCCATTTTGCTAGACTCTGCCTGCCCGGTGTTCCCACCAATGTGTTCATCTATGACTTTCTTATGTTGGGTAACTTTAAAAACACCACAGAACCACTTTTATTACATTAGAACAGGACACCCGAGGCCATCCAAACCCATGTCCCAAGGCTATGGTCACTGATACTAGTCTGAAAAATGAACTATCTTTTATTCCCTTTGAGGTGAGAGCTATTTTATGTTTACAGAATGGAAGCTTTTTGCCCCAGATGTCTGCAATAAATGTCCTCTCTGGTGTGACTGGCTCAAACTATGTCACATGTTCACCCTGGCCCAAGGAGAACAGTCTGAGGAGAGAACTGTGCTGCTGACTGGATTCTGCCTGATCCTCATCTGTGGTTCCCAGGTTACAGGCGAAGTCAGTTTCTCTAAGGCATAGGTGTGGTGATATTTTATTTGTGCTCTAACAAATAAAGCTTGCCTGGGGATCAGAGGAAAAAGCCAGGCACCATATTAAACACAGAGGTCAGGCAGTGGTAGCACAGGCCTTTAATCCTAGTATTGGGAGGCAGAGTTCAAGGCCACACTGGGAACAGAGCCCAGGTGTGGTGGCACTTGTCATGAATCCCAGCACTAGCTAACCATAGAGGTCTGGAGGTCTGTACAGACAGACAGGAAGTGATAGAGCTGGGTGTAGAGAGGAAATAAGATGGCGGGTCACAGAAAGGTACATAAGGCGTAAGTATATAGGAAGTAGCTCTTTTGGGCTGAGGATTTCCTAGCAGTAAGAACTTGTGGCTGGCTTGTTCTAGTCCTCTGATCTTTCAGCGTTCACCCCAATATCTGGCTTCAGGTTTGTTTTTTATTAATAAGACCTTTTAAGATTCATGTTGCACATTTGAGGGAAGGATAAGGCCAGACGGAAACAATGGGAAGAGAACGAGGAGCGGTAATTGAGGAGGGGGGTTGACTGTGAGTGGCCATACAATGCCCACCTTGGCCCAGGATGGTTTAGTGAGGGTGTCCCATGTGAGCGTGAAGCAGGGCACACATGAAAGGGGCCGCTGGTGATTGTCACACGTGGAGGCTGAAGGACAGGGCGGCAGGAGATGTCTGTATCACAGCAGGAGTAGACCAGTAGCAGTGGGCACCCCAGCATCCCAAACTCATTTAGGTTGCGAGAGTAAGGAGGGACATGTAAAAGAGACACACAAATAATCCCGGGTCACAGCAAAATAAAACAGGTGCTAAATGAGAAGAATGGGCAAAATGCACTCTGTGTGTGTGTGTGTGTGTGTGTGTGTGTGTGTGTGTGTGTGTGTGTGTGGTGTGTGTGTACTACAGTTGTGGTGACTTCAGTCACAGATGGCAAAATGAACAGCATTCAGGTGGATGCTCAGGGCCCGCTACCGGAGTGTCCTTGTCTTTGACAATGAGCACTCGATTATGCATGGAGGCGGAGCCTGCCAGGCATCCAGTTCTTTCCATCATTAGCTTCTCTACCAGTCAATGCTAAAAGGAAAAAGAAAGGCACCAGGCAGCTGCTAAAAGGAAGCCCTAAGACGGCTCAACATCCTTTCTTCCTTCTTGCCCCAGGCTCAGCTTTCTGTGCGGGCAGTAAACCAGAAAGGACGCCGGCCACCGAAGGACTCCACAGGGAAGGCTGGAGCTGGGTGTCTGTCAGGGAAGGAGGGACCCACGCATAATTAAAACCCAGTCTGGGACTCTTTCTAAAGGAGAAGCAAAATATAATCAACATGACATCCCCGAAGACCGTGAAAGATCTGAAAGGAAGGACATAAGCATCTATGTCTGCAGAGAGAGAAGGAGACAAGAAAACCAGAGTCTGCAGCATCGGCTTCCTGGGCAAAGATACGGAAGGGGAAAATTGGAATTAGATCACACCAGCAACGCAATTAAGGAGAATAAGATGCGCTTTTGCAAATATCGAGGGGGGGAAAAGAGATTATAGAGAGGAAATAGGAGTTAATAAACGCAGAGGACCATGAAATGAATGGTGACCACAAACGGCTGAAATACCCAATTCCACTCTTTGTTGGCCTTTAACTAGGAAAACAAAGGAGAGAAACGGAGCGATTAAACAAGTGAGGACACCTTGAGGGAAGTGGAGTAGACGCTGGCAGGGACCAGCTAGCTGCCTCGGGCCTTCCAGAACACAAGCCCACCATGGGCTCCGGGAACAGTCCTGGCCCCACACTGGCTCAGGCTGGTGAGCTCGGGTACTGTTTCCTGAGGGGCCAAGCAAGGGGAGAAGGGGGAGGAAGGAAAGAAGGAAGGAGGGAGGGAGGGAGGGGGAGGACGGAAGGACGGAGGGGAGGAAAGGTAGGCCCAGCCAGGCACTCCTAACCAACAGTGTTAAAGTTTGAATGCTAAATGACACCCACGGGCTCTGCATCCCGTCCCCAGCTGGTGGTGCCCTTTTGAAAGCCATGGAGCTTTAAGGGGCTGGGGCCTGGCTGCTGGAATCTGTCTAAAAGGCTTTGAGGCAGGCTTGAGTTTCCGGCCTGCAAGCTCTGCTTCCTGGTCTCCACCGGTGAGAAGCCACTGCCTTAGGCGCCTGAGGCAGCAGAGCAGCCAGCTGCCATGCATGCCTTCCTCACTACAGGAGACTGAGGTCCCTCTGGAGTCTGTGCCAAAGTAAACCTCCCTTCCCTAAATGTTTCCGTCAGGTAATTGCTCACAGCGGTGGAACACTGAGAGTGGAACTCTCGTGACCCACCCCCTACACACTCTACCTCCAGTCAGGCCCCAGCTTTCAGCCGTAAGGAAGACTCAGCCCATCGTCAGCATGGTTCCTTCCCGTCTCTTTCCTCCCTTTCCTCCTCACTGACAGCTGGGGGTCATGGACACCTCTGTTGGGGATCTCCCTACCCAAAGCACACCTACAAGGTTGTCTTTTTTTTTTTTTTTTGAAAGGAAGGATGGCAAGCCAGGAGCACACTGAGTGAACAGACGGCCTCATTGGTTTTTGCTCCAGAGAAGTTGATTTCTGGATCTTGCAAGTCAAGGTCCTGGTATAGCCAGGTTCTAAGACAGGCACTGGGGATGCCAAGGTACGGGACAGGGGCGTAGACGCCAAAGAGTTCTCTACTGATTAACGTACACACACACACACACACACACACACACACACACACACACACACACACGGTGTGATGCCCGCAGTCATGGCGGGTGTTCAGACCAGGTATCCCAGGTATCCTGGTGGCTCGGAGGAGGGAGCTACTCCATCCTCGCAGACCATGAGGGCTTCCCAAGGTCTCTGGGCTTGCTTCTGATGAATGACCAGAGTTCTGACAGGTGGCCAAGGCTGGCTCTTCAAGACAGCAGGAGGCCCATCTGTGAAGGGCGAGAGGCATCCACCGTGCACAGCATTCAGCACGTGAGGTGTTTGCTTTCCCTTCGGAGTCCCCTCAGCATAGTCCTCCAGCAGCCTAAGCGTCTTCTCCTTCACCGGTTTCCTTCCTGCTGGAGGATTTCAGGAGTGGCTTTAACTCCATCGTCAGGGCACCCCACCTCCTTTTATTACCTTACAAAAGGAAAGACTACAATAGGCAGACAGGACCTTGTCAGCAGCATCAAGGGGTCTCGCTAGGGAGATGCCACCAGCCCGGGATGGGGGAGGGCACAGGGAGTCTTCTCCAGGCCAAGGCAGGCAGGACGTGCCTTGGCCCAAGCAGCAGCAAAAATACCAAGGCAAAGGGGGCTGAAGCCAGTGGGGCTGGAACCAGGAGAACAAAGGGCGGGGCAGGGGCGCAAAGGAAGCTGGGAGGGTGAGCAGCTTCCAGGACCCAGAGGCCTGAGGCCACGCCCTGCTACTGAGCAGCGTGGGAGGTGGGATGGTTCGTCTCCACTGTCTACCTCAATGGATGTAGAATCACCTAGAAGGTACAGCTTGGGGGTGACTCCGAGGACATTCCCAGAGAGGAAGGGTGACCCCGCCCCCATGTGGGTGGCACCATCTCATCAACTGGGGTCCCGTAGTCTGCAAACATGGGGGAAGGAGGAGGCTGGCATTTGTCTCTGGTGGTGGGTGCCATGGGACCAGCCGCCTCACACTCCTGCCACCATGCCTTTGCTCACGTGATGGACTGTGTCTCGCAGCCCATGAGCCCAAATAAAGCCTTCCTCAAGTTGCCTGTACCGAATAGTTGGTCCCAGCAATACGAGACGTGATGAATACAACTAACTGATCTTGTCATTCCATATTATTTTTTGCCAACTTTTTTCTTTGTAGGAAGAGGTGAAGGTAATGATCAAGATAAAAGAACTAAAGAGGAGTTGTTGACTTGGTAAACCACCCGGAGAAGTCAGACAGTCAATCAATCATACAGTGTCAGAACTGGAAGGAAACTTCAGAGGGAAGAAAAAAAACAATCTCTTCCAGATCAACACTGACAGCTGTTCAAACACCCTCTGCTCCAGGGCTTCAGTCCCTGGGAGCAGACTGCCTCAAAAAGCAACCTTGGCTTTGTGAGAGGTTCTGAAAGCCGGAGGGGGTGGAGCGGAGGGACACGGTTTTCTTATATGGAGTCACAATGTATCTCCGAGCGACTTCAACCCATTTGTCTTGGCTCTGTTCTCCGAAGGCAGAGCAGGCCAATGTCCCTTTTAAATGTGCTGCCCAGAAAGCAACACCAGACTCTAAATGTGGTCTGATTTAGTTAGAGCCCCATGGGGAATTGGAAGGGGGTGGGAAATAATAAAGCCACCAAGTTAACCAGCTTTGAAAAATGACAGACATAGAAAGCTCGCATAAGTAGAGCCTTAAGATCATAAGCTAACGGGGGACTCTGAAAATATGCAGCTGGGTTCTCTCCCACAGAGGCAACTCACACCTAAACCTGTCCAAGCCAGACAGGCTGACCTATTTTTTAAGGTATCCTAAAGTCAGGGTTCTGTGGATGTTGACTGTGGAGAGGTTTCTTACAAATCACACAAATCAAACGCTGTGAATTATTTTCGAATCAGTTTTCTTGTAGACTAATTTATTTTAGCATTTCCCCCTCTCGAGTGCTGGTATCTCCTCTGCCACATAAACTGTCTCCCAGATGAAGCCGCTTTTTCTGTCATATTCCAGGAGTGTGTGTTCATCTGCTCCTGCGGTGTTTTGGTTCATACTGCATCGATTAACCACACTTCCTCCATTATTTGCCTTGTTTGTTTGTTTGTTTTCATGGGATGCATGCTACTAATCCTTATGCCTGATGCTTTGCGAGATGTGCGCATGCTCAAAGTGTGGGCAAACCGAGTCTCTGGCAGGTGAGTCCCTTCAGTTAGGAGTGCCTTCCAAACGCACTTACTTTGAGTTGCTATCTGGGGGGCAGCCTGGGAGAAAGGAACACACCGGACCCTTGGAGCCAGAGAGGATAATGCCCCAATGTGGGTGAGGTGGGGTAATACCTCCCCAGCATTGTAAGAAATGAGTAACTGCCCTCGGTTCCCGCAGCCCAAAACACAGCCATGCCTCCCTGTCTTCAGAATGAAGAATCCTTTTTAAAGTAAATGTTCTTCTCGATGATTTTTTTTTTCAAGTTCTGAAGTCCATAAGTAAACGCAGCATTTATCAAATCCCTCATCGGCCTTCTCTCCAAACCTCCCCGGGGTGGGGTCCTCCTCACAGCCCCTCCCACACACAGAGATTAACTTCTGTGATACAGCAAAGGCTTCACCAGGTTCCTGCTCCAATGGCCAAGCTGTTTCTCATTAGCATTTGAATGTCTCCTCCTGAAATAGGGCACCTAAAATCCTGCCACTAGGGAGGCTGAGGCAGGAAGATTTGAGTTCTGGGAGAGCCTGGGCTATGTAGTAAGGCCCTGTCTCAAAAACAAAACAAAAAAAAAAAAAAAGCTTTTATTAATTAGTACAGTAAAACAAAGTGTCTCCTCCTCACTTCCCTTTTCCACATTACTTGGGTCTCTTTGTTTTCCTCAAGCTCTCCTCTAGAATACAGCTTTAAAAATTGATTTACTAATAGGGTCTGGTCTTGGGGCCATGGTGCACTGGGGGATCCGGGGACAGCTTGTGGAGTCAGGTTCTCTTCTCCTACCCCTCGGTGGGTTTGGAGAGCAAACATAGATCTCCAGGCCTGTGCAGCAAGCGTCTTCACCCGTTGAACTCTCTCAGCACCCTAAGCTGGGATTCTGCTATGTATAAGATCATCTCTCCTGCCTGCCTTGAGTCCCTCAAGACACCATCACAGCAAGAAGGAATGCCTATCCACCCTCACTGGGACCTTCCTCCTGATGCTCCAATTCTGGAGACTCCAGTGTATAATGGTAACAGTTCTTAGGGTGTTGTTCGGATCTTAGATGGTCTTTTAATGAAAAAACCCGGTCCCAGACATTGGCGTAAAAGCTGAAAGATCAGAGAAGCAGAGCAAGCCACAGCCAACCTCACCAACTCCACAAATCCTCAGACTGAAAGCCTCTGAGTCCTCCTCACTCCATAGGTTCTCAGCTGAACTGCCTTAGCTCCTGTTTCCTCATGCCTTCTATACCTTTTTTCACCCTGCTGTCACTTCCAGGGATTAAAGTCGTGTGTGCTTCCCAGTACTGGGATTAAAGGTGTGTGCCACCACTGCCTGGCTCTGTTTTCAGTGTGGCCTTGAACTCACAGAGATCCAGATAGATCTCTACCTCCCAAGAGATAGAATTAAGGGTGTGTGCCACCACTGTTTGGCCTCTATGTCTAATCTAGTGGCTGGCTGTTCTCTGATCCTCTGGCAAGCTTTATTGGGGTACACAATATATCAGCACATTAGGGTCCATGGAGCTAGGAACTGAACCATAGAAACGCTGCTCTTGAATGTTTTTAAAGCTCAATGAAAAATGAATATATGGCAAGTTGGGTTTAATGTGGACTCCATCCCCTGAACTGGTTCCCATGAGGTCAGCCCTGTGGGGTACTGGGGGTAAAATGATGTGGTTCAGTATTTGAATGAGTCAGAATTCTTGGTTGCAAACAATTGAAACCCAGTCTAGCTGATATGAACAGAGAGAATGTGAAGGAGAGAAGTCAGCTGGAGCAAATGGGACCCCGTTCTGGAATTAGGACAATCTGATGGCCCGGGCACCTCTCTTCCAAGACATGGGAAACTACCACACAGCAGAGCGAGTGAACCATTTGGCTTATCTGTGTCACTCAGAGTCAAACCCCACAGGGAACCATGCAGCTAATGATTCGGAGGTGCTCACATCCAAAAGCTGGAGGGCAGGGCAGCAAGGACCTCTTTTCTTGGGAGGAATCCCCCCAGTCTGTTGCTGGGCAGTGCCCCAAGTGAAAATTGTCCAGTGATTGTTGAATAGTTTTCAAGTTTTGTTTTATTTTTAATTATGTGTACCAGTGTGTCTTTGTGTCATAGGTACATGTGATTACAGGCACACTTGGAGGCCAGAAGGGGACGTTAGACACCCTGGAGCTGGACTTACAGCCTCCAAACTCTGGTCCTGTGCAAGAGCAGCAGGTGCTCTTAACCACTGAGCCATCTCTCCATCCCTAGGGGGTCTTCCTGATGAGTGAAACAGCCAGCCTTGGTGGTGCCCACTGGTCATCAGCTGAAGAGGATGAAGCAGGAGGATCTGAAGTTTGAGGCCAGCCTGAGCTGTGTAGCAAGATCTTGTTCCAGAAAACTGAAAGAGAAGAAGGGTGGCAAGGGGATGAATAGGTCAAACTTAATCAATGGCAGGACCAAAGAGACAGTTGAGCAGTTAATGTGCTTGCAAAAAACCCAAGAGGGCTCCCAGCACCCAGGTTAGGTAGCTTACAAACCCCTGTAACTCAAGATCCAAGGGGAACCAATGACATCCATTGCCACCTGCACTCAAGTTCACATACGCTACTCCTGCCCACTTGTGCATAATTTAAAATAATCTTTAAAAATAAAACCTGTAGTTGGCTTTTTTTACTCTTTGTTCTTTTGAGGGGCCCACCACCCAACTCCCAAATAAGTACACAGAGGCTTATTCTTTCTTATAAATGCCTGGCCTTAGCTTGGCTTGTTTCTAGCCAGCTTTTCCTAAATTGTCCCATCTACCTTTTGCCTCTGGGCTTTTATCTTTCTCTATTCTCTACACCTTTCTTTACTTCTTATTCTTGCTGTGTGGGTGGCTGGTGGGCCCCTGATGTCCTCTTCCCCTCCTTTTTCTTGATCCCTGATCTTATCTTCCCAGATTTCTCCTTCTATTTATTCTCTCTGCCTGCCAGCCCCACCTATCCTTTCTCCTGCCTAGCTGTTGGCCATTCAGCTCTTTATTAGATCAACCAGGTGTTTCAGACGGGAAAAGTACCACAGCTTCACAGAGTCAAGCAAATGCAACATAAAAGAATGCAACACATCTTTGCATCATTAAACAAATGTTCCACAGCACAACAAATGTAACACATCTTCATCTAATATTCTACAACAAAAGCCAATGGTAAAAATCTTGCTTGTAGATCCATGGAAGGAAAAAAAAAAAGACAATGAACGGGATTGATAAATGAAGAATGATTGAAAACTTGGAGGGGAAATGTTGAAAAAACAGAAGACCCAAATTGTGGCTCCTAGGGTTAGAGGCTCCTTGTAGTCAGGATACATGAGCAGGAACTGCTTTTCTCAAACTCTTTGTTTCGCTCAGCCTATGCCAGAAAAACTTGGGATTGCGGATTCATCATCACTCAGGAATTATTTACTCACAGCTGCTGTATCTGAGAGAGAAAAGGCATAATATCTTAACCATGACCTGGAGATTGATTTTCCATAAAAGAAATCTGGGGGTGGGCAGTCCTGGCCTGAGCTGTTGGTTTTGTGGTGTTCACAAGCCTAGGCCTCTTTGCTGGTTTTCTTTGTCTTCATTAGCTGTCTATTGCTCCTAGCCATAAGGACACTTCAGAGCTGCTGGACCCCCAGCCACTGTGGCCGCACTCCAGACATGAAGTGGACAGAAAGTAACAAGGACAACTGGAAAACAAACAGCAATACAAAAAAGAACCGGGCTTCTTTGATGACCCTTAAACTCAGGATCACGTTTAACAGTGTCTTAACAACCACCAAAACTGTAAGCCAGCCTGGGAAATTCTGCTCACCTCTACTCAACATGGAGCCTGCAATTAGTGGCCCAGGAAGTCTCAGAGGGAGATGGAGGTTTGGTTGGTGGTCTTTGTCTCCTTTTGCTCCTACTTTGTCCCTTCCTCAAGTCCCTTTAGGGAGTGTCACTTAAAAGCAAGGAAACCCGCGTGTGAGACGCCAGAGCAGACAACTCAGGGGCCTGTTTCTGTTTCGGCATCATGGGGCATCATGGGGCATCATGGGGCATCATGGGGCATCATGGGGCATCATGGGGCAGGGCGCTCTGAGAAGCCAAGGCAGGACACTGGCTGGCCAGAGCATTGTGTGACCGCTTCAACTCCAGTGGTTCCCCCTCCTTCTCATAGCTACTCCATGAGGTGGGCACAGTGGCACCCGCTGAGGAGCCGAGGACCAGTGGCAATCGGGAGCTAACCTGCTGACGGTGAGTGTGAAGGCAGGTTAGAGCCCAGTGTCAGGCTGACTCAGGAGTCCAAGCTCTCAGCCAACATCCCAAAGGCACAACACGGCCCCACCTTTAATCCCAGCACCCGGGACACAGAGGCAGGTGGGGCACTGAGTTCAGCGCCAGCCTCATCTGTGTTGAAAGTTCTAGGACAACTAGGGTTGCATAATGAGACCCTGTCTGGAGGAGGAGGAGGAGGAGGAGGAGGAGAGG